ATAGATAGATAGATAGATAGATAGATAGATAGATAGATAGATAGATAGATAGATAGATAGATAGATAGATAGATAGATAGATAAATTGATAGATGTATTTTTGGGTATTTTTCTTTCAACCAAGTGGTCACCAACTGCGCGCTTTATTTCCCGGGCAACGCCGGGTGTCCTGCTAGTGCACTATAAGCACATTAATACTAATTTCTTTCTTTGTTGCAGCAAATGTACTGAGCAAGAGGTAGCCTGTGATGCCGCGACAATGCGTTACTGTTTCGATCACTGAACAGAGCTGCGTGCGTGCTGAGAGAAAGACAATGCACTGATGAGTAGTACTGATGACTCTCAGACGCCGCTTCAAAGACGTCACTATGGTCGCAGGATAGTGCTCGAAATCTTCCGTATTGCTGCCATCAAGTTAGCCAATGACCATCGCAAGGCGACTACAGATTAGTCAAGTCCGGCCGAGACGACGCGGAAACGTTCTTGCCGGAAATACACACCGGAAACACGATCGGAATAACAAACGCGTTCGTTCGTTTGTTTTACGCTAGAGAAAGCCTTCGACTCGACTATCAAACACTATCGGACAGAGGAAAGCGACGCAACACTTTGTACATAGGCGAGCAATTTTATAGACAAAGGGAACGATGCGGTTGCAATTTAGATGGATTTCAGCGGGATATTCTCATACTCAGCGTCATCTATCGGGATGTAATAGGATTATCGTGCTGCAAGCCCCTAAGGACTTAAAGGACTATAAAGAGGAAATGTGATAACATCCGTCTGAGCTGTTAAACACTGTTGCTGTGTAGGCGACTCACGCGTCTCCACATACATCGCAGTGTGCTTATACAACTCTTTGTAATTCTAAGCGAGTTTTTGTTAGCTCTGTGACTTTATCTACTAGATAATATATCTATTGGTAACTTGGTTCTGTTATGCATCAACAAAGAAGGTACAGAACCCCCCCCCCCCACACACACACACACACCTTCTCAACATTGGCTTTACGATCGCATATACAAATTTCACATAGAAATGTATAGATAAAATTTCGAACGAAATGTTCTCGAAAGAAGATATAGAAATAGAATTATCGAATATAGAACTATCGAAATCGAATTTTTATAGTGATGTACGTGATTGCCGCTGCGTACGTAAAATTTCCGTGAGTCGCGTACACGGCATCTGTGTAAACATAGTCACTCTCGATGTTCGGGAATGAAATTACTCCTCGTGGTCATTCATAGGTAAGCGTGTACGGAGCCCGTAAAGTGAAATAATTTCGATATTTCCAGTTTATATATATGCGCGGAAATGAGAGATTGCGTTTGCCCGATGACGTCCATCAAGTCAAAAGTGTTCACTCTAAACACATATGATAAGAAGAGCTAATATAATACCTATTATTAGCTCTTGATGATAATTATTGTTTCTGGTATATACGCATGCAGTATATATAGTATAGAGAGAGGGTGCGAGAAAAAGATGCGATTGGCAAAATACAGGTGCGTTTATACAAATACACAACACACACACCTCACGCGCGCGCTCACGCACACACACACGCACGCACGCACACACACACCACATAGCACGCGCGCACGCGCACGCTACGCACCAACACCACCACAACACATGCACACACACACACACACACACCACACACACACACCACAAACACACACACAAACAAACATCACACACTAGCACGCACACGCACGCACGCGTATACCCACACATAAAAATGCGCCTATTAATGCAGGATCGGCGCTAGTATCGTCATCATTTCATTCTCATCGTCGTCACCATCCACCGCATAAGCGAAACCTGTAGCTCACATTGTCGCGGCAATTTTATAGTCACAATAATCGCAATCATCGTCATCATCATTCTCATCATCATCATCATCATCATCATCATCATCATCATCATCATCATCATCGTCATCGTTATTGTTGCCATTGCTATCACAAACATCGAATAATAATGTACTCGTATTGTCAACCGTCCTAGATGTCTATATAGCTGTGTGCGACTGCTTGTGCAAGAGAATGCATCAACAGCATTTCAGTAAGATCAAACATTCAAAGCTTCAGTCGACGACGAAAACGACATCAGTTACCTTGACGTATCAGCTGCTCGAACGCGGTTGCTCGCTCTCGTCTGCAATAAATTATTACTTCAAGTTTTAGCCAACATATTGCTTTCTCTCGCGGGGCAATATTCGTACAAGAAATATATACCGCCGGGTAGTATATTTCATAAAGATTAGGTTTACCAGGCAATTACCCGTGGTCGTACCGCGAAATGGTGGACTTCAAGTTGATTGGGAGGTTTAACAAGCGATTTTCCTGGAGCGAATTCTTTATTGTAACTGCTTCATCGTCTTGGTCGTTTGTATGTCAGTCGACTCGGATAGATGAACCGTGTACATATTAATACAAGGAAAATCTTACAGTGGAAATCACCGTAAGAAGATATAAAGCCGTATTTCCGTAACTGTCCGTCACAGGTAATACCGGTAACTCACGTCGGTTCGGTAAGTGTACGTCGTTATTACAAAATGTTCCGTTTGCGGGACATTTTAACGTTAACCTCGTTTAATTAGTGCCGATAATTTCTCATGAGCCGTTCTAGTTTGTAACCAATTCGGGCAATCGTCATACGCACGTTGGCGATTCGATTACATTTGGAATAACGTGGCGAAAACATGGTGGGTACGTTTCTCTCTGTAGGTTAAGATAAGAATAACTATACTAACGACCATGTTATGCGACTTTATTCAGTCCAACTGTGGACTAAAACAGGAAAGATGCGTTAGGGACAATATTTTGCCAATTTATAATTGAAATACAAATAAGCGGATTTTTGTTCAACAGTACTAAGAGGGGCAAGTGTGGCATTTCGAACCCTTAATGACAAAATCTTAAAATAACTAATAAAGTGATAACGTTTAAACATACGCCTTATTTGAAGTTTTTGCGATACACTTACCGATATTAACGCATCGTGGTTAATTGAATTAAAATCAGTATATGAATGCTGCCGTCTGGAACGGATTTAGACTACTCATTCATTTCCTCCTCGCTCGGCCATTTGCTGCTGCAAAGAGAGTTGAGGCAAAAAGTTATACGATTGTCAATAGTTTAGGGTGAAACATTTACGGCTTTGTTCATGTAATAATAACCACGTACCAATATAATTAAAACGCATCCCGAGGTATCTACGCCAATTATATCGATTTTGTAGTAATATGTAAACGATTAAAGAAGACGTACTACGGTGGCCCATATGAACAAAACACAAAGTACCGGCGGTTAGCATGTTGGTCAAACATATAAAGTGCGAGACGAAGCAAATAAGTTTCAAGACAAACACATTTACGGACGCCAACTGGCAAACTTCATATTTAAACACAACAACATGTTCGCAAGTACGCAAGTAAACAAGTCTCGCAAAGCAACTAATTATCGGAGCAATACAAGTTTCCTAAACGGAAATAGATGGCAAGCACTAGCGCCCTCCACCACTCCCTCACCCATCGAGATTTCGTGTTCCACCCCCTAAACCCTCCCCTCTCACCCCTCCCCACCACCACCACCAATTTCCGTTTTGCAACTTGCTGTTTGCTTCGCTACTTGTGTTTGGTACATGCGTACATGCGTGGCTTGCCGTGCTTGTGTTTTGTTTATATGGGCCATCGTACTATACGCCCTGGTATGAAAAACCAAACAGGTTGTAACATCTCCAAACACGAGAACTAAGCTTTTGGTCGTATAACAGGCGCTTAAAATCTCGTTAATTGTTATGAAAATAAGGGCAAAATTACGGAATTCCGCTAATCAGGCGTATCAGGGTGTTACAAAAAAAGACGACCCACGGAACTGCGCGTCATCGATGTATGCGCGTCATCGATGCGCGTGGTCTTTCTTATTTCCTCTTGAAATACCCGATATGGTTATGCATCTAGTTCATGCCGGTTTGTGATTCGTGTACGAGGACGGGGTACAATTATTTACGCGGATGATCTCGGCAATAAAAAGACCTGCTTTTAGACGTCAAATAAACGACGTTATAACGATTAAAAATTGCAGATGAAAAGCATATATATATATATATCCTATATATTGCGATGAGTTCCGTAGTGGTATAGTCTTAAACTTTATTATATATAATTGTGTATAAACTGATGTTGGCACGTTTTGCTATCGTTATCTCACAAGTTGGTCTAATGGTGGCACAGGTGGCAGTCTGTAAGCAACGCCAGTATACGGACACGTGCGTGCGTATCGCGCGCTATACTCGTCAAATACAAAGTTACGATCCCTTTCTCCATAAAAATCATCCACAGTAACTTGCACCCGGCAAATCTCCACGAAGAAATTGCGCGAAGTGTAATGCACGTGAAAACGCGGCGGTGGAGGTAGGGGGTATGTTGAAGAGAGAAATGCCACATACATGACACGATTATTTCCTGTTTGTTAAAACTTGTTTAAATACATCATTATTGTGCATTAAACGTATTTTTATTAACTAAAGCGTTTATAGTTTCATTATGCGAGCATGTGTGTGTGATCGCGCGTACGTGCCGCGTCCATCCATCCATTCGCGGTGTGCATGTGCGTTGTGCGTGTGCGTGTGCGGTGTGCGCTCGTCTGTGCGTTGGTGCGCACTCGTTGTGCTGTGTCCATCTTACGCTTGTGTCGCGGTGTGCGTGTGCGCTCGTGTGCGCTGTGCGCTCGGGTGTGCAGTTGTCGCTACGTCGCCGTGTGTGGTGCGTGTCGGGTGTAGGCTCGGTGTGTGATGTGGCGTGTCGCGTGTGTGTGTTGCCCCATTCTAGCTGTGGTGTGCGTGTGCGTGTGGCGTGGGCCTTGTGTGCGTGTGCGCTCGTTGCTTTGTGGCGTGTGGCGTGTGCGAGTGTGCTCGTGTACCGTGTTGGGCGTGTGCGTGTGCGTGTGGCTGTTGCGCTCGTGTGCGTGTGCCGTGTGCGTGTGCGTGGTTGCGTGTGCGTGGTGCGTGTCGCGTGTTGCGTGTGCGTGTGCGGTGCGTGTGGCGTGTCGCGTGTGGCGTGTGCGTGTTAGCGTGTCGGGCTCGTTTGCGCGTGCGTGTGCGTGTGCCGCTCGTGCGCGTGTGCGGGCGCGTGTGCGTGTGCGTGTGTGTGCGTGCTCGTGCGCAGTGTTGGGTGTGTGCGCTTGTGTGCGTATGCTGCGCCATCTGTGTATGGCTGTGCATTGCGTTGTGCTCGCCATCTGTTTAGGTATCTGTCGCCCATCTTTTGTAGTGCCTGCGCCATACTGTTTGATGCTGGGGCATCTGTTTGTGAGCTGGCATCTGCTTGTGTTTGCTGTGCCCATCTGTTTGTGTGCCTGTGGCCATCCTGCTTGTGTGCTGTGTCTTATCTGGCTCTATGCTGTGCCCATTCTGTTTTATTATGCTGTGCTATCTGTTTGTGTGCTGTGCCTATCTCGTTTGTGTGCTGGTGTCCATCTGTGTGTGCTCGTGCTTATCTGTTTGTATTGTTGTGCCCGATTGTGTGTATGCCTGTGGCCCATCTGTTTGTATGGCTGTGCCCATCTGTTGTGTATCCTGTGCCCATCTGTGTGTATGCTGTGGCCCATCTGTTTGTATCTGTGCCCATCTGTGTGTATGCCTGTGGCCTATCTGCTTGTATGCTGTGCCTATCTGTTTGTGTGCTGTAGCCACTTCTGTTTGTGTGCTGTGGCCTATCTGCTTGTATGCTGTGCCTGCAAGCTGTTTTGTGTTGCTGTGCTATTGTTTGTATGCTGTGCCATCTGTTTGTGTGCTGTGTGCCTATTTGCTTGTATTGCTGTGCCCATTGTTTGTGTGCTGCGCCCATCTGTGTGTAATGACTGTGCCCATCTGTTTGTATTGTCTGTGCCATCTGATTTGTATGGCTGCGCGCCCATCTGTTTGTATGCTGTGGCGCCATCTGTGTGTATGCTAGTGCTCCATTGCATTGTAGCTGTGAAGCATCTGGTTGTGTGCTGCGGCACCATCGTTTTGCTTGTGCATCTGTGTAGTGCCCCATCTGCTTGTGTAGCTGTGCCCATTTGTTTGTTTTTTCGTTGTGTGCGCGGTCATGTGTTTGTATGTGGTTTGCCCATCTGTTTGTATTGCTGTCTGGCCCATCTGTTTAGTATGCGTGGCCCATCTTGTTTGTATGCTGGCAGCATTGTTTGTAATGCTGAGGCCCATCTGTTTGCTATGCTGTGATACTTTATGCTGCGCCCAATCTTGTTTGTATGTCCTTGCTGCCAATCTGTTTGTGTGCTGTTGGCCATCTGTTTGTAGCTGCGGCCCATCTGTTGTGTGCTGTGCCGTCTGTTGTATGTTGTGCCATCTGTTTGGTGGCTGTGCCTAATTCTGTTTGTATGCTTGTAGCCCATTTGTTTGTGTGCTGTGGGCATTTATGTTTGTCATGCTAGTGCCCAATCTTGTTTGTTAGCTGCGCCCATCTGGTTTTGGCATGCTGTGGCCCATCTGCTTGGCATGTGTACCCATCGTGTTTGTGTGCTGTGCCCATCTGCTTGGTGTGTCACTGTTTCTTCATTTACGGCATGTTTACAATAATTGTACGTTTCTCACATTTGAAGCCCATTATTAAAACGCGATAACATGCTACATGACGTTTCACTACGACTTTATTGAACGGCATACAGCGTCATTTGCTTTTTATTCACGTGAAGCACAAATATGTTAGCTCGTAACATGTAGAAAATCACGAGAATAAGCATAATCAATGGACGATGAACGTCATTGCGCCAGCATGATGTTTATCTAAATTTTAAACCATTCGCGTCAACAAGGTTTTATTCCCGTGGAATAACTGGAAAAGCTTAATGCGTGTTTCCACAGTAAACACATTCGTGAACCGACTGAGCGTAAGAAATCAATCGACCCCCAATGTCTACTGACAATCTAACAACTAATCACAAACTCAAATTTAATTTATTCCAATTCCTCTCAAACTAACAACGAGCGATTTCGCACCCCGGTTTGAATTAATTTGTGATTTTTATAATACATCATATTTACATGCGCGTACTAAAAACAATGTTAACGTAAAAACGATCTAGTAAATGCGATGGAATACTTAATTAGAATAATTCCCAACTAGGTTAGCCGACGGGATATGTCGAGAAATAACAACTACGTATACATATTAGAAAAAAAACGATCGACTCCAAGAACTTTGATGATTCATACAAAAAAATTGCAGAGTCAGCGAATATCGCAGACATCTTATCAACTTCAATCAAAGAAAAGTTACCGTCAACATTAACAATTTACACGTTCTCTAAGAACGAGAGTGACGAATAGCACGGACATACATACGGATAAGGTGTAATACGTCGGCAACCACATGAAACATTAAAAACATAGTATGCGGAAGAGGAAATATATACATGTAGGTGTTTATGTATAGTTAGCTCTTGTTGGATACCGGGTAACAAATCTGAATTGCAATTTGTGCCGCTCAGAGATTGTAAACAATATTAAAACATTTCTACATTTTAAACGTCACCATTTTCAATTAAAAACGTCTTTTATTAGTTTTTGTTCAAAATGTCATTCATGTTAATTCAAAACGTCTTTCCTTTTAATACAAAAATCACTTCAAAAGTATCTATCGGTCGCAGATCAATATCGCTCGGTTTAGTAAACGCCTCATAGCATAACTATCGACGATACTGATTCTTTTCGGTTACCCAATCTTCGATAATCTTTTCGTTCGCCTCCAACCACCGAACGTTGGCGCGCGTTTTCTCGATTGCTTGCCGCCACATGAGGTCGCCACCTCCTAGCCTGCCAAGAGACTTGACGAACGCTTCCAACTGCAACAGGGTGTATGTCAATGTTCGAATTAAAAACAAACACGTCATTTTTACAATGATGATGATGTTGGGCATGATGATGATGATCATGATTCTGACGAGGACGAATACGACGACGACGATTATGATAATTTTTCATAGTATTTTTTTATCCTACGATGTTGATTAATCATATTAACTATCTTGACCATCATGAGTAGATGATTAACATTTATTTGATTATTGTAATAACACGTTGAAGGGAGCAACGTTTCCCTTTTATTAATAACGTATTACAGGGACACTGCGTGGTATGGTGCTACCCACACGTCCACTACGTACCTCTTTCAGTTCCCATGCTGTGCTGAAATATTTAGTCACTCCCTTTATTATTCTTCTGTCGATGAATTGATTTTCACCATACCTAAAAGAAGAAATACAAATAAAGACTACCGTCGTGCATTTCTTAAAAGGGGAGTGTGTACTTTCTTATAGGCTACGTTATACGAATATATATATATATATATATCTAGACATGTGCTTTTCAAGACGATCGAGATAATACTTGGATAACACACACACACACACACACACACACACACACACACACACACACACACACACACACAAACAAACAATCACACACTAGCACGCACACGCACGCACGCATATACACACACAGTAAAAATGCGCAATAATGCAGGATCGGCGCTAGTATCGTCATCATTTCATTCTCATCGACGTCACCATCCACCGCATAAGCGAAACCTGTAGCTCACATTGTCGCGGCAATTTTATAGTCACAATAATCGCAATCATCGTCATCATCATCCTCATCATCATCATCATCATCATCATCATCGACGTCGTTTTCGTCATCGTTATTGTTGCCATTGCTATCACAAACATCGAATAATAATGTACTTGTATTGTCAACCTCCTAGATGTCTATATAGCTGTGTGCGACTGCTGTGCAAGAGAATGCACAACAGCATTTCAGTAATTCAACATTCAAAGCTTCAGTCGACGACGAAACGACATCAGTTACCTTGACGTATCAGCTGCTCGAACGCGGTTGCTCGCTCTCGTCTGCAATAAATTATTACTTCAAGTTTTAGCCAACATATTGCTTTCTCTCGCGGGGCAATATTCGTACAAGAAATATATACCGCGGTAGTATATTTCATATAAAGATTAGTTTGCATGCCAATTACCCGTGGTCTTACGCGAAATGGTGGACTTCAGTTGATTGGGAGGTTTTAACAAGCGATTATCCTGAAGCGAATTCTTTATGTACTGCTTTCATCGTCTTGGTCGTTTGTATGTCAGTCGACTCGGATAGATGAACCGTGTAACATATTAATAAAGAAAATCTTACAGTGGGAATCACCGTACGAAGTATAAAGCAGTATTTCCGTCAACTGTCGTCACAGGTAATACCGGTAACTCACGTCGGTTCGGTAAGTGTACGTCGTTATTACAAAATGTTCCGTTTGCGGGACATTTAACGTTAACCTCGTTTAATTAGTGCCGATAATTTCTCATGAGCCGTTCTAGTTTGTAACCAATTCGGGGCAATCGTCATACGCACGTTGGCGATTCGATTACATTTGGAATAACGTGGCGAAAACATGGGTGGGTACGTTCTCTCTGTAGTTCAAAAGTTAGCACCTACTCTAACGACTATGTTATGCGACATTATTCAGTGCAACTGCGGACTAAAACAGAAAGATGCATAGGGCATCCATGTGATTATACTCCGGAATATTTTTGCCAATTTATAATTGAAATACAATTAAGCGGATTTTTGTGCAACAGTACTTAAGAGGGCAAGTGTGGCATTTCGAACCCTTAATGACAAAATCTTAAAATAAACTAATAAAGTGATAACGTTTAAACATACGCCTTATTTGAAGTTTTTGCGATACACTTACCGATATTAACGCATCGTGGCTAATTTAATTAAAATCAGTATATGAATGCTGCCGTCTGGAACGGATTTAGACTACTCATTCATTTCCTCCTCGCTTCGGCCATTTGCTGTGCAAAGAGAGTTGAGGCAAACAAGCATACGATTGTCAATAGTTCAGGTGAAACATTTACGGCTTTGTTCATTGTAATAATAACCACGGTACCAATATAATTAAAACGCATCCCGAGGTATCTACGCAATTATATCGATTTTTGTAGTAATATGTAACGATTAAAGGAGACCGTACTACGGTGGCCCATATGAACAAAACACAAGTACGCGGGTTAGCATGTTGGCAAACATATAAAGTTCGAGACGAAGCAAATAAGTTTCAAGACAAACACATTTACGGACGCCAACTGCAACTTCATTTTAACACAACACATGAAGTAAACAAGTTGGCAAAGCAACTAATTATCGAAGCAAATACAAGTTTCCTAAACGGAAATAGATGGCAGCACTAGCGCCCTCCACCACCTCCCTCCACCATCGAGATTTCGTCTTCCACCCCCCTCACCCCTCCCCCACCACCAATTTCCGTTTTGCAACTTGCTGTTTGCTTGCGTACTTGTGTTTGCGTACATGCGTACATGCGTGCTTGCGTGCTCGTGTTTGCGTACATGCGTACATGCGTACATGCGTGCTTGTGTTTTGTTCATATGGGCCACCGTACTATACGCCCTGGTATGAGAAACCAAACAATTTGTAACATCTCCAAACATGAGAACTGCGCTTTTGGTCGTATAACAGGCGCTTAAAATCTCGTTAATTATTATGAAAACAAGGGCAAAATTACGGAATTCCGCTAATCAAGCGTATTCAGGTGTTGCAAAAAAGACGATTCCACGAACCTGCGCGTCATCGATGTATGCGCGTCATCGATGTACGCGCGTCATAGATGCGTGTGGTCTTCTTATTTTATCTTGAAATACCCGATATGTTATGCATTTAGTTTATGCCGGTTTGTGATTCGTGTACGAGACGGGGTACAATTATTTTACGCGGATGATCTCGCAATACAAAAACCGTGCTTTTAGACGTCAAATAAACGACGTTATAACGATTAAAATTTGACGATGAAAAGCAATATATATATATATATCCATATATATTGCGATGTAGTTGTAGTGGTATCTTAACTATATTATATATAATTGTGTATAAACTATGTTGCACGTTTTGCTATCGTATCACAAGTTGGTCTAATGGGTGGCACGTGCAGTCTGTAAGCAACGCCAGTATACTGACACTGCGTGCGTTCGCGACTATACTCGTCAAATACAAAGTTACGATCCCTCTCTCCATAAAATCATCCACAGTAACTTGCACCGCGCAAATCTCACGAAGAATTGCGCGAGTGTAATTGCACGTGAAAACGCGGCGGTGGAGGTAGGGGGTATGTGAAGCAAGAAATGCCACTACTATGACACGATTATTTCCTGTTTGTTAAACTTTGTTATAATACATCATTATTGTGCATTAAACGTATTTTTATTAACTAAAGCTGTTTATTGGCGATTATAGTTTTATTATGCGAGCATGTGTGTGTGATCGCGCGTACGTGCGTGCGTCCATCCATCCATGCGCGTGGGTGCTGTGGCGTAGTGTGCGTCTGTGCGTGTTGCGTGTGCGCTCGTTCGGTGCGTGTGGCGCTCGTGTGCTGTGTCATCTGCTATGTGTGGTGTGGTGTCTCGCTCGTGTGCTGTGCCGTGTGTGTGTGCCGGGTGCGCCTGAGTTGGTGGCCCAGCGCGGCCTGCGGACAAGATTGCGTGTGTGCGTCCCTGTGCGTGTGCGCTCGTGTGTGTGGCGATAGTTGCGTAATGGTGTGTGCATCTGCATTGTGTGCGTGTGGTGGCGTGTTGGCGCTCGGTGGTGCTTGTGATGAGCTCGAAAAAGCTAGGAGACTGAAAGGAGAACGTGTTGTGTGTTGTGCCACGGCGGGCTCGGTCTGTGGGCGTGTGCGTTGTGCTCGTTGTACGTTTGTAGCGTGTGGCTTGTGCGTGTGCGTGTGCGCTCGTGTGCGTGTGCGTGTCGTGTGCGTGTGTGGTGCGCGTGTGGCGTAGTGCAGTGTGCGGGCGTAGTGCGCTGGTGCGTGTGCGTGTGCGTGGTGGCGTGTGTAGTACAGCCGACGTGTGCGTTGTGCGTGGGTGCTCCGGTAGGCGCGGGCGGGGGGGTGCGTTCGTTGCGCTGCGTTGTGCAGTGTGCGTCTGCTGTGGTGCGCTCGGCGAGTTGTGTGGCTGTGTGTGCGTGCTTGTGGTATGCTGCGCATCTGTTTGTTGCTGGTGCCATCGTTGTGGTGTTATGTATGCTGCGCTCTGTTTGCTAGCTGTGGCCATCTGTGTTGTATGCTGGCATCTGTGTGTGTCCTGTTGGGCATCTGCTGATGTGCTGTGCCATCTGTTTGTGTTGCTGGTGGCCTCTGCTTGTGTTGCTGTGGCATTATCTGGCTCTATGCTGTGACCCATCTGTTGTGTATGCTGTGAACCTGATTCTGTTGGTGTGCCTTGTGCCTATCTGTGGGTGTTGCTGTCTGTGCATTGTTTTGGTGTCTGTGCTTAGTGTTTGTGATGTTGTGCCATCTGTTGTGTATGCTGTCTGCCCGCGTCTGTTTGCATGCTGTGGCCCATCTGTTTGTATCCTGTGCCACATGAATGTGTGTTGCTGTGCCTCTGTTTGTATCCTGCTTGCGCCATCGTTGTGTGTATGCTTTGCCTATCTGCTTGTATGCTGTGCCTTCTGTTTAAGTGGTGCTGTGCCCGATCTGTTTGTGCTGCTGTGCTATCTGTTGTATGCTGTGGCATCTTTTTGTGTTCTTTGGCGCCTATCTGCTTTGTAGGCTGTCACCATTCATTTTGTTTGTGCCTGTTTGGCCTTATCTCTGTCTTCGTATGCTGTGCCATTCTGTTAGATTGTGTGCTCGCTTGTGTGTATGCGGGTGGCCATATTTTGGATTGCTGTGCCATCTGATTTGCTAGGCTGCCCATCTGTTTGTATGCTGTGCATCTAGGTGTATAGCTGTGACCATCTGCTTGTATGCTGTGAACATCTGTTGTGTGCTGTCGCCCATCTGCTGTATGCTGTGCATCTGCTTGTTTGCTCTGCCATCTGTTTGTGTCTGTGGTCATCTGTTTGTTGTTGCTGCCATTTAGTTGTAGCTGCGCTCATCTGTTTGTATGCTGTGCCCATCTCTTGTATGCTGCGGCATCGTTGGTCTATGCTGCGCCATTGTTTGTTGCTGTACCATCTGTTTGATGCTGCGCGCCCATCTGTTTGTGCTGTGCAATCTGTTTGTGTGCATTGTGCCATCTGTTTGTATGCTGCTGCATTTGTTTGTGTGCTGGCGATCTGTTTGTTGTGTGGCCATTCTGTTTGTGTGCTGTGCCTATCGTTTGTATGCTGTGCCATACTGTTGGTGTGCTGTGGCATTTGTTTGTATGCTGTGCCATCTGTTTTGTGCTGCGCCATCTTCTTTGCATGCTGTGCATCGTCTTGCGATGCTGTTACCCATCTAGTTGGTGTGCTGTGCCCATCTGCTTGTGTGCTCACTGTTTCTATGTACGCCACGGTTCACAATAATTGGCTACGTTTGCTAATTTGGCAGCCCATTCATTAATACGCGACAATCATGCATAACCATGACGTTTCACTCGAGCTTATTGAACGGCTTACAGACGTCATGGTGCTTTTTTATTCACCAGTGAGCAATATGTTAACTCTGTAACATGTTAGAAATCCAGAGAATAAGCATAATCACCATGGACGATGAACGCCACATCGAGCTTGCGCCAGCGTTGATGTTTATCTATTTAAACATTGCAGTCACAAGGTTTTTTCCGGACATACTGGAAAGCTTATATGTCTGTTTCACAGGCTAAGGCAGTTATTCGTGAACCGGAGCTGAGCGTAGAAATCAATCGGCCGCAATGTCTGACTGACAATATAACAAGATAATCACAAACTCAAATTTACATTTCATTCCGAATTTCTACTCAAATAAAACGAGCGATTTCGCACTCCGGATGTTGAGATTAATTGTTTTTTTATAAATTACATCATATTGTACATGCGCGTACTAAAAGCAATGTTACGTAATAAACGATTAGTAAATGCCGATGGACAATCTTATTAAGATAGATTCGCCAACTTAGGGCTTCACCGTTGGCGAGTATGTCGAGAATAAAACTACGTATAGCGAGTATTAGGCCCAAAAAAACGACGTCGACTCCAAAGAACTTTGATGTATTCTACAAGAAATTGCAGAGTCAGCGAATAGCGCAGACTCTTACTTCATTCAAGAAAAGTTACCGTCACATTAAGCATTTTACACGTTCTCTAGCACGAGCAAGCGAATAGCCACGAGGCTACATACGGATAAGGGGGTATACGGGCGGAACCCACATGAAATGTAAAATAGTATGCGGGAGAGGAAATATATACGTAGGGGTTTGGAATATAGTTAGCTTCTTGTGCGATTACCGCGGGTAACAAAGCTGAATTGAAATTTGGTGACCGCTCGAGAGTTGTAAAAATATTTAAAAAACATGTTACATTTAAAGCGTCACCATTTTGCAATTAATAACGTCGTTTTATTAGTTTGTTCAATAGTCATTTATGTTAATAAAAGACGTCTTCTTTTAATACAATAAATCAGTTCAAAGTGTATCTATCGGTCGGCAGATCATATCGCGTCGGTTTAGTAACGCCGATTTTAACCCTAGAGACGTAATTAGATAACTATGCGACGAGTATTGATTCTTTTCGGTTACCAATTTCGTATCTTTTCGTTCGCCTCCAACCACTAACGTTGTGCCGCGCTGTTTTCTCGATTGCTTGCCGCCACATGAGGTGCAGCCAACTCTAGCCGTACAAGGAGCTACGAACGCTTCCACCGGCAACGGTGTATGGTCATGTTCTGAAATAAAAACAAAACGTCATTTTACATATGATGATGTTGGGCATGGGGATGATATGATCGATGATTCTGACGGAGCGACGCTACGAGCGAGCGCGGATTTTTGATAATTTTATAGTATTTTTTTATACCTACGATGTTGATTATATATTACATATGCTTGACCTCTGAGTCGGTATTAATCATTTATTTGATTTATTGTAATAGAACGTTGACGAGGAGCAACGTTTTCCTTTATTAATTAAAGTATTAAATGGGAAGCACTGCTAGGTATTGAGTGTACAAGTCCACTAACGGTACTTCGTTTCGTTCCATAGCATGTGCTGAAATCCTTGAGTCACACCGCTTATATTCTTCTGTCGATGTGGAATGTTTCCCCATACCTAAAAGAGAAATACAAATAAAGACTAAGTGTCGTGATTTCTTAAAAGGGAGTGCGTACTTTCTTATAGGCTACGTTATACGAATATATATATATATATATATATCTAGACATGTGCTTTTCAAGACGATCGAGATAATACTTGGATCTGTAGACAAACGCCAGAGGGAGTGTTAGAGTTACCTTAGACTTGTAGCAAAAGAGATGTCGTATTTTTGTCGAACACATACACCTGGGCTCGTACACGTGCGGGCGAGCACACATGTAGACACGCAAACTCACAGACGGAGGCGCGCACGCACGCACGAACGCCCACGCACGCATGCACACACGCACGGAAGCATAGACGCACAGGTTTTATGTGTTTCTATCTTTAAGTGTTTGCAATCATTTATATGTAATACGGCGTGTAGGTGGCGCTCGCATCTCTAGATTGACGACCGAACAGTAACTGTTTCCGTATTTCATACACTAAAAAAGAAGTTGTATACCAAGGGAGAGGGAAGAAACGTACGCTACTGCGTAGGATCATTCTCATTTTACATTTCAGCTGGTAGTCTAAGTAGTGAGATATGCGCACGTTATGGAACGCTAAGCGACATCTTCAGCCCGCCGCGAGCGTTCACGAACATAAATTTGCCTGTACATTTACGCGTAACCTCTACTTTCTACGTAATACCTGTATTCCATTGTATTCCATACACTACCCCTATTATACTATTATACTATATTCTATATTATATTATATTATTATATTGTATTGTATACCTCTATATAACTAACTTGTTTTTCGTTAATTCGTTGTATCTTTATCTGACGTAACGCCCTAAACTTACTTTTTCCTAATGTCTGCCCAATTCCCGACGACAAACTTCCACGCATAGAACCTTCCTTCGGCAGTCTGACTGACAGCAGAAATAACCTTCGCTACGTTACCACCTCGAATCTCGGGAGATTCAAGCGCCAGATTGAGGTATCTGCCAAAATACAGTCATGTAAAAACTGTGAATGCAAGAACGAAGACTCGTTATAACAGATATTCGGAAGTCTCATCGATACGGCAAAATACGGGGGCGATTTAAATTATATCTAGATATATATATTTGATTATATCATTAAATGCAAAATTGAATCGTCTCGCAATATTCTCGTAAGATGTATTGAAATATCTGCAACGTAACGTACATATCAGTAGGGTAACGGGCTTAGTTGTTAGCTAGCTCACCTATTCAGCAACCAAGGCTCCTTGCTGCATCCCATCGCCTCAATTAGCTTTGTTTTCTCGGAAGCAGAGCTAGTCTTCTCTAATTGTGACCACGCAAACTCCCATTCAACAACACCTAGCTGGCGTATAGCCGTGCAGTAGACAAACGACCTGTAGTTAGCCGGAACCCTATAAAAAATATGAAATATTTAGAGAAACAGCCGAGGCATCCTAGAAAAAAGAAAGAAATATATATTTAAAGAAACAGTCGAGACACAATATGCGCGTTTTTTTTATAGAAGCTATAATCGTACACTTGAAATGGGGAAATCAGGCAAGAAATGTGTCCCGAAAGATACAGCTTGCCATGATGAAGTAGAGCTAGAGAAATTACCCACCAGGTGTCGCGCATGCTGTTGTACTATCGTTAAGGATCGCTTTCTATCAAAATAATCTGATCTCTTCTATATAAAGGTTATATAAGGATATATATAAACTATCATAACTATAACGTAAAAGTACTTGTGCGACATAGTACTAGTACATTACCGTGTTAACGGTTCACGTAGTACGTATGGGAGCGTATGTGCGCCACGTTACCTATTAGAGTGAGGTGTGCGCATCCAGGCGCTATACAGGAGCTGTGCCTGGTACGTGCATTCACCGTGACCAAACTGACACGCCATCTTCAGAACTTCCGAGCGCATATTTCTGAAGGAAAGATACCCAAAACGTTTATATATATATATATATATATATATATATATATATACACGTCACGGTCATCAGCAAGCACCTAAACACATGCATATACACGCGCACGCACGCGTAGGTACGCGTCCACGTACGCAATGCATGACATTGAGTCGATATGTAGTTTATTTTTTAAGAAATTAACGCCGACATTGATATCTTGCTAACATTTTACTAAATTTCGTTATGACCTTGGCAACCCAGCCACCGATTATAGTTTATTTATATGAAACTAAATACAGTTACTGCGTATTAGCACCGCAGCTGGTCAGTAGGTCAGTCAGTGTGTGTGTGCGATGTATCGCGATCAGTGGCGTAGTTAGGGGGGAGCATATGGTGTAGAGATGGTAGCGGAGGAACCATTAAAATAGTAAGTCATCCACTATTTTGCGCAGTTCGCTGTTTTTGGTCCCCCTTGTTAAAAAAATCCTGGCTACGCCACTGATAGCGAGTATAGCGTTATTGTGGTTACGTACGTTTTAGCTGCTGCCTCGCCTTCCCGTTCGTCCCAGCCCAACAAGTCGTACTGCTGTTCTAGGAAATTCCTAATATATTTCTACGGTAAAGGAAAAATTTCGTTAATAGCGCGAACAACGCTGTATATTTTTTTATAAAAATTGCGGTACATTACATTGCATCGAATTCAAATAAACGTGGTTGTACCATTTGTCTGCTGCAGTGTATTTACCTATGACTTACTAGTATTATACATAGTTTTATTTACGAATTATTACCTATGTTGCCTTACTAATTAACTTATGTAACTAAGCGTATATAATTTTACGAATATCGCATAAGAGAAAATATGAAATTTAGAGGGTGGTTATGCCACAATTCGTGCAGATAGATTTTTGCCGTACTGGTGCCTACTATTACAATTACAATGCAATTACAATTACAATTACAATACAATACTCATTACAGTTACACTCGCGGGTACAATAAACTACAAACAATCATATCACACACCTACCTTGAATTCGCCATAGCCACTAGACCAGGCGAGTAGCCCACCCCAGTCTTTCCACGTATTCAACATCAGCTCCCACGGTAGGTAGGCCTTCTCCTTGTGCATGTACTCTGAGATGCGGAGCGCCGTCTGCTGGTCGAGGTAGCCCGCGCGGGATAACCAGTAGGCGTCGTCAATCAGGGTAGCTCGGTTGATATGGTGGATTGCCTGACAGCCAGAAAGGATCGCCAAAGCATTAATCGTGGCTATTATAAAGGTAGTCTAATCCCCGTCCTGTCAATCCCGCTATAAGAATAAGACGTAAAATTTTCCGAATGCAACGGAATGTTATCCAGCAAGCTACGCAATAAATATTTAATGTAGCTTTGGCTGCAAAACAAGCGATATCATTTTTAGTAAGAAAATCTCTTCACAAAAAGCATCCTAAACTTTCGCGCAAGTTGAAACCCTTCTGAAACATATCGTAACAGCTAAGTTAAATAAATAGGGTTGCAATTTTTTCTAGCGATGTACGACTGCTGTATTTTGCCAACATTAACTTGAATAAAACATAGTTGCATAAACAAGACTAGCGAGACCGCCATAGAAAAACCGGAGAGCGGGCGAGCAGGAAAGAAAGAGGGAAATAGCTTGAAAAGAGAGAGCGAGTTTTTGCCATGCGCTCGGGTAACTTCTAACAATCTTTAACGCTCACTTTCACAGGACACGCTAAAAAACCATGCAAAATTCGGTGATTCGTAGTCATAGAAACAAAATTTACTACAATAAAACGTTCAGGTATAGATACTGGGATAGTCGGTAATCAAACATAATATTATCAAGAGCTAATCATACATTATTATACTACATTACATGTTTTCTTCTACATGCTTCATTCTACGTACATTATTTCAAGTATTATTAGATATTGATATTAGGCAACTGTAAGGTAAGCATGGTACTGTAGCACTGGAACCAAGGACCCCTGCACCTTGGTAGACAAGGAGAACCACACGCATTATTTTATGTATAAACTCCGCTTTATTTTATTTACCCTTTAATACTAATCTCCGTTTTATATAACAAAGGAATCATTTAACTTCCTAAAACGGAACACTAACATTATGAAAAATAAAGAGCGCCTGTTCCACGATAGTCAAGAATTCTAAAGATCATATCAGGAGTGTCATAATATAGACTAATAGGTTCTATCACAGTATGAGCTTGAGATGGGATATCTCACCCGAGTTATAGATATCCCGTCTCATACGAACGTAGCGAGTATGAGACGTGTTTATCTATAATGAGGATAAGATATTTCCCATCTCAAGCTCATACTGTGATAGAACCTTTTTCTCGCATTTTTTTTACTTTTTATTGCAGAAAGAACATTTCAGTTCAAATAGTAATTCAATATTTTGCAAAATTTTCAATTTATTTTTGTTTATTTTTGTTTATTTTTTATTTTGTTTATTTATATATTTTTTATTTTTGTTTTTTTTCCCCAATTATTTTTCCCCATTAATTTTATGAGTATTGCCAAAAACTGTGAAGGTAACCCTTTACCTTGTAATTAAGGAAAATCATTGGATTAAAAAGTAGTGCGAGATAAACCCATCTCGGGGTCTGCAAGTTATCTCGAGGATTTATCTCGGTGGCTATCTCGGGGGATATCTCATACCTAGTATGCGAGAATATCTTGTCTATGTTATGCCTATGTTATGTCTATTATATCGTTATGTCTATATGTTTATATATGTTTTTATATGTTTATATGTTTATATCGTTATGCCTATGTTATGTCTATATCGTTATGATCGAAACTCCTGATCATATCCCATTGAGAGCATATAAACATAAACATGAGGGGTCACGTACGTTTTTATCCTATATAAGAAATCTAATACCAGAATAACAGCACAACCACTGGGTTGATCTAAACGGATAGACCACTCTCTCTACTTCACTCACATCTAGGTCATCGTTAAGCTGCTTAATCAGCCGCTCCCAATTTGCGCTGTCGTAATTAACTCTGTAGTAGCCTTCACGCTTTATGTTGCCTATAAACCATCCCGAATTCGATGGCAGGTCATCGCTGCTCAGGTTCACTGTAAATTATAGAGGCTGGTTAGACAATAATTAGGCGATATCACGCTCCGGATAACTTGGCTATCGAACTTTTACGATGGCTCGCAATGTTTTTTTTTCTGTTCGAAT